ATTTCTCTCATCAGGACTTCTTTGTGTCTGCTTGCTTTTGTTCACAGCTCTGACCACTTCTACACCTTCATCATCCGTCCCATCAGCATCCTCCACAACAACAAACCAAAGTGAAAGTTCCACAACTTCACTAGCCTCGCCTAAAACCACCAAGCACCCTGAAGAAACTAAAGGTACATCCACACACTGTGCTTACTAGATACAGTTTCAACAACTTATGAGACATAAAAGAGCATGAGAATGTCCACAAGTTTACAAAAGTACATTTTAAAATGCTGAACCTCCAAATGAGGTTCCCAGTGTTCAAAAGATTTACTTTATTTTGACAATATAAGGCAAATACTTTTGAGCTGTTGTCTTCACCTAAAGATAACCTGTCCCCCCATAAAAAACAAAATGGATTATGGGTAGTCTGAGTCTTAGATGTCATTTTTTACATTTAACTCTTCAAACACTGACAGGTGTGATCCTGTATGTGCGTCTGACTCTGGTCGTCGTGGTCATCGTGTCATCACTGTCTGTGCTGGTATTCTGCAGGAAGAGGATTTGTAAAGACAAAAGTGAGGAACCAGGTAACACACACACACACACACACACACACACACACACACACACACACACACACACACACACACACACACACACACACACACACACACACACACACACAAAAAGATTCTGATTTCTCTTGATCTATATTAACTTTAAAAGCAGACGCACAATTCTAAAATAAATTTCTCACACAAAATGTCCATCCCCCATCACCAGATTGGGTGTACGGATATTCATTTACATCATTAAAAATAACCCAACTGCTGCTCAGTCTAAAGGTTTTGTTATCACTGGTTCTTGTAGAGCGATAATCCTTCCGCTGTTGCAGAGGAAACAGGTGCTAGATTTATGCTTTGTAAGTTTCAACATCACTAACATACAACATATAGTCTAGTAGTATCTATGCAACTGCACAATAATACAATTCAAAAACAACAACCTACATTTAAATCTATATCACACCTGACTGCAAATCAGGCTGTCTACAAGTCTCAAGCCATTTATAAAAATAAGCTTTTCACAAACACATACAAATAGAGAGAGCTACAGTGAGAGGATAGCTTCCTCTATTTTCGAGACTCAGTGAATCAGATAGGAGGCTTTTTTTAAATTCAATATGCACTTTAGAAACATGTAAAGCCATAGCTTGTTATTACTTTCATTGAAACGTTATTGTATATACTTATTCAATTGTCTTTAGTAATTGAAATTTGACAGGGTGGTTAATGATTAAATATACTGTATATTCTGTTGTTTACAAACTCAAAACACATCTATTTATCTTGTTTTACTCCGATTTGAACGGTTGGCCTAAATATTGGTTTGATGTCATGTTTGAAAATCTGTTCCGAGTCTTTTTCTCAAAGTACTGTTGTGTTTTTCAGAACCTCATGTGGAAACACAATGTGCTTCTGCACCGGAGGTGAGTTTGAGAAAATCTGAGCATCATATTAATTCAGTTTTCTGTAAACCCACTAAGCGTACTGTGACGGCCCCTGCTTTGCTATTTCCTGTTGTGTGTGTGTGGCCCTTTAATGTTCTCCCTTTGTCTGTCAGCATTGATTGAGGACACCTGGCTGCTGGTACCGGGGGGTTAAAAGGCCTGAGCCAGACTCTCGATGTCTCTCCTCCGCGGAGGACCGTTTTTGGAGAGAAGCCTTTCGCTTTGCCTTGCCTTTATGTTAGTTTTTGTTTACGTTGAGTGTGGTAATAGATATCTTTCATATATCTTGTCCTCAACACTTTTGTTAGCAAAGCCAGTCATGCCAAACATCTATGTGAGATTCCTGGGGAAATCTCTCAATTGACCTTACGCCAATAAACACAACCATTGAGCAAAAACCAATGATTACTACAACGTTGTCTTACAGCTATTTACAAAATACACACAAAAGTATACACTTTAAACTTAGCGATCAAAAAACCTTCGCTCGTATGGGGTACTTTTGACCTGTTGCTCGCTTCCTGATCATATTTACTGAGATGCCAAATTGATTCATTCGCGAAATGCTGCGTTAATATAATTGAGTAAATATGAATAAATACCTAAACAAATAAAAAAAATTTTTTTTTGATGACGTAACTTACAACCAATCAGTGCTGCTGTTTTTTCGTGTTTAAAGCACACTTATCAACAATGTTTTTCTCCAGGAGAAAGACGACCTGAGTCAACACGCGTACCTGAGATCAATTTGTCAGCGTCGACTCGTCCACAGCGGGTTTCCATGGTGACGCTGGTGTGTTTTTGTCATCTGTTCCTCGGGTGAAGCTAGCTCTGATGGAGCCCCCTCTGTACTCTACTGTTAACAACCCCCAATACTCTCACAGTCTGGCAGAAGAAAGCTGGTGTGAATAGCAGCCGTGTAAATAATCTGAACAGGAGATGTTTGGGGAATATGTACGATATTGAACCATTTACTTATTTCACCTGCTCCTGAATGACCTGCTCATGGATGATAAGTCCAGCTCTGTCTAGTTACAAAACGTGCCGCTTTCAACAGTTTGCTTAGGTCAAAGCTGGTGCACTTATTGTACGTCCCTTGGATAAAACCCTCAGCTAAATGATCTGTAGTTTAATATAAAAGCTTCTTTAGGGCTTCAAATTATTTATTAAGTATTTATACACTTGGATATGGTATTAAATTATCCTCTGTAAGATAGACTGTTCGAGTCAGTTAGCAGTTTAGCATAAGATATGTTTGCTTCGAATGCTTTGACTATAAATTGAACTATTTGGTGAAGGCTTATTTAGAAATGTTTAATTATGCAGAATATAAATAAATATTTATGAATTATAAAATTAAACCAGGTATGTGGTCAGTACGGGATACAAGATGCCACTCTCATACTGTTGCGTAATGTGCCAGACTTTAACCTGTTTGTATGTTTATATATATATATTTTGGANAAACATCCCAGTTTTTGCACAGCCTGCATACTGTACTGACCGGACATGTCACCCATTGAGCATGTTTGGGATGCTCTGGATCGGCATATATGACAGCGTGTTCCAGTCCCGCCAATATCCAGCAACTTCGCACGGCTATTGAAGAGAAGTGGACCAACATTTGTGACGACCCTTGCTTTGCTATCTCCTGTTGTGTGTGTGTGGCCTTTTAATGTTCTCTCTTCGTCTGTCAGCATTGATTGAGGACACCTGGCTGCTGGTACCGGAGGGTTAAAAGGCCTGAGCCAGACTCTCGATGACTCTCTCCGCGGAGGACCTCTTTTTGCCTTGCCTTTATGTTAGTTTTGTTTAACGTTGGGTTGTGGTTAATAAATATATTTTCATATATCTTGTCCTTTCCACGCTTTTGTTATGGCCAAGAGTCAGGCCACATTCCACAGGCCAAAATCAACAACCTGAAAGGAAATACATATAAGATTTCTCAGATTGGAGCTTTATTAATAAAATGTTATAAAGGCAAACAAATGCATATTCATTGTAAACATGACAGTGATTCATCCTAAGCTATCTGACCAATCAGGTAACAGAGAAACCCACAGAGTTGAGGATGCCTCGTATTTTCATGCTTCCTCAGTCACAGCCCCATTTGTCGTTTTCAATGTCCTCTAAACTTTACAAACCCCTTCACCAAAGAATACATATTATTATACAGAAGATAGTACATGTTGCAGGTTTGGAAGTGCCTTATTTAAGAAGAAGTTCTCGGTCTTAAGATTTTTACAACATTGCCTAAAGAAGCTCCAAATGCCACCCGTTTATCTTGAGGGTTATCTTGAGTTTTTTTTTAATTACTTCTAGCGATCTTTATCAGTACCCTTGCATTTTGCAGAAAGCTAAAGCCTGTCTTCTTGTGCTGTAATGGAACAGAAGAAACGCATTCTAATTATGCCGCATGTTTCTGAAATAGCTCTCTGAACTTAGGCACTTATAAGTTAACACATATCTTTATAGCTTTAATGGTGGCACTTTAGTAGCCTTAAGACAAGACAGAACAGAAAAACAAGATATAAATCAATAAAAATCAAAGATAACAATACTAATTAATAATACTAGTGACAGATGCTTATCTTTGAGGGAAAGTGAAGGCCTTTGTACTGTATGTGATTGAGCACAGTGCCTTCCACTTTGAGGGGTGGCTTTTCCTATCTTCGTTGCTTTACTGCCTGCAGGACTGAAGATGAGTCACTATGGTGTTGGAGGAAACAGTGAAGAAAAGTCCTCACATATCCAGAGACTGAAATAGATGCTCTGCCTCTCACTCTGTACTCTGTGTGGGAGGACACAGCAGACACACAGAGGTGCTCTCAGCCCCCCCCACATTTATCCACTGTATTATCTCCATGTCCAGCATACAGTGATTGATTCATAATGTGTGCATCCACCTCCATCTTTTTCGATACCAGCTACTGTGTGAAAAATGTAAATGATAATGTATAAATCTAGCTTAATAAGACTTTGCGCTGCTCAATCCTTTCATGCTGATGTTTCCTTGGATACGGATGCTGTATCCTCTCTGTCCTTAAGAGGGCAGGCAAGTACAACTGAGGAAAATAAAGTGTTTACAGTCCTGTCCATTTCGAGAAGCATTTAATAAATAATTGTAGGATTCTTTAAAAGCCTTTAAGGCCTAAAGTTACATTTTTGACTGTGCCAACAAATTATTTTTCCTAGCTCATCTCTAACAAATCAACATGGATAGGAAATCTTTTGAAGATCTTTATTTTCTACTAACCTAAAGATAGTTTCAAGAAAGGTGGAGAGAAGCAAAATAACAAGCAACATTACAGCACATAAGGGAGAAAAGACTGCACAATAAAACTGATTTTACTGTAAAACAAGGGTCAAACAGTAAGAGTAACAATGTTAATATTTAAGGGAAAGAGAAGCCATTTGTATGAGATGACAATACCATTTTAGCCTTGTTGCCTTCTCTCAGGGAACATGTGTAGGGACTGAGATAGACTAAATGCTCTGCCTCTCACACTGAGTTGGATGACACTGCAGACACACAGAGGTGCTCTCAGCTCCTCCACACTCAACCACCATCTTATCTCCATTTGTAGCATACATGCACATTCAGGCCTGTGAATGAATGACGTTTGTTCCTCTTGTTGTGTGTATGTTGTGTGAGTCTGGGCATGCATCCACTTCCATATTCGTAATTGCTTCTCCAAGGATTTGTGTTTCTTTTCTGAATAAGAAAAGTACAAAATGTACAAATGTGACCCACTAGGATTATTCTGGTTTTTACTGTGTGAGAATGTACAACTTTTTATGAGGCTGCTGTATCCTCTCTGTTCACACGAGGGCAGACAGATACAAGTGGCGAGAAGAGAAGTCCACATTTTGGGATCATTACAAATGACTTCTACTTCTCCCTCACACTTAAACAAGGCAGACAAACGGAGCTAAATAACATAATTAAACAAAAATTAAAAACTGTAATGCAGTTTAAAATGACAGCAAAAATATGGTCTTAGCAAATGGTCTGCAAAGCTATTGAAAATATGTTACCATTAAAATAAAAGTATAAATGTAAGTGAAGCACAAAAGAGAAATCACAGCACATAGTTACATTAAAACATTGGCAAGTGAAAGCAATGCACGGCATTATCTATGAGATCATCAGTTCAACACATTTTACTTTCGGTTCTTGTATATCTTATTCTTTTTCATGTTTATAGACTCCTGCATTTACTTGGTAACTTACAACCTTCTCTGCATTATTTAGCTTATTGTATTTATTTATTTTTCTGGCATGTATATATTTTACTTCATGAGTACTTGCACATTGGTCTGCATCATAATCTGCACTATTTCATTCTAATCTATTCACAGTGTTTCTTATTGCATTCTTTATTTTTTTATTTGTCTTATTGTTTTATGTACTATATGTTGCATTGTTGGAGGAGTTCTGTATTTGCATTTTTAATTACCATAACTATACTGTAGCCACTATGCGTATGACAGTAAAGCCTTTGAATCTTGACTCTTGAATAAGGTTGATGTTGTCCTTCAAAAAGGTCAGAGTTAAAAAAAATGTCTTCAGTAATTTGCTTAAATGTAGTGCATAATTAGCTCAAATGAAGTAGTCCCTCAACTGATCAACTATTGTCAGTTACACAGCAATATTTATCTACGAGCTAACATTAGCCACCAAAAGCTACTGGTCATCAGCCAAAATAAGCTTGCAGGAGCAACCCCCTGTGAGTGTGTTGAACTGAGCAAGGGTGCTTCTTATTTCTTGCGAGTTGAACTTATCTTTTGCAAGTAGAAGATAACAAAAGGTACATACATTTTCATGCTCAAATTACATTAAAGGTTTCCTATAATGCTTTTTCTAGGGAATATATTATGGGTCTCAAAAATATATATAAAAACATGTCTATGGTGTGTTTTGCTCAAAATACCAAACTTGCACTTTAGACATCCCTCATATCCCTCTATTTCAGGCCTGTTAGAGAACTTCAGGTTTGGGGTCCTTAGCGGAAGGGGAGCTTGTGCCTGCTCAGAATTCTACGAGATACTCAGCTTATGCTCCCGTGATTAAATGCCATGTCATGTTCCAAACCACGTCAAGGATTATTTCTGAAACAGCATGGAGCCCTGCTATGCTGAGTTCCTTTTTTTTATTTCCTGCTTTTTTACACATACTCTCTCCGGTACAGGTTAGCTCTGAGTGTTAGCGATGCTTGCTAATGTAAACAAAGACCATATTACGTCCAAAACATGTCGGGCATTGTTTCTGATAGCAATGTTTCTGATATTGCCGTGGGTCCACATTTCCAATATTATGTCATATTGGACGCAAATCTGGATCAGCTCCGTTGTACCCCCGTTTTTAGAGATTTGGGTACGGAGGAAAAGAGAGAGGGTTTTGTTGACATATTTATGTATAATTAAACATATAGAGTGCAATTTGCATGATAGGTCCCCTTTAAGTCTGGGGTCATCAGAGGTGGAATAAGTAACCAGATATTGTACTTAAGTAAAAGTAGAAATACCAAAGTGTAGAAATACTCTGTCAGAAGTCAAAGTAATGTATTCAAAATGTTACTCAAGCAAAAGTACAAAATGATTGGCCTCTAAATATAGGTAAAAGTACTCAAAGTTTATAATTATTTATGTTTTAATGTGTTTATCAAGATGGTAAAGATGAATAATTTAAATGACTTTATTTTCTTTATTTGCTGGGTAGCATGTGAGTTTAATCCAGGTGCAACCTAAATTGTATTTAAGTGGTGATCATATTTTGCATCATTATTCCATATCAGCAAAGTAACTAAAGGTTCTACATTTATGTAGTGGAGTAAAAGTAAAATATTTACCTCTGAATTGTAGTGGAGTAGAAGTACAAAGTGGCATCAAATGGAAATACTAAAGTACAAATCCCTCAAAATTGTAACAAAAAAAGGTACAGTACTTGAGTAAATGTAACTATACCCCTGGGGGACATGTACAGCTATCAACAAAATAGCCATTGTTGTGGCCATCCTCTCAGTGAATTATGTTCATGTAATTAATTTCTTATTTTAAAAGTTTCTTACCTGTATATCATTTGTATTTTATCTTTCATTTTATTAATCTTTAATCTTGTGTGATTCTGTGCTGTCCTGTTTTTCAATCTTACCCTGTTACTGTTTAAACTACTGAACTTCCAACGGGGCTTATCAAAGGTCCATCTTATCTTATTGTTAATCGTTACCTGGCTCAATGTGTGAGTGCTACACATCAGGTTTCATATGTTCCGTTTCCTCAAAACAAAGGATCGTTGCTGCATTTCTGTTTTTGCCATCATGTACCTACTAACTTGCTGGACTAGACATTGATCTCAGCTGCAACTGTAATTGTAGGCCAAACATAGCAGATATATCAAGAAAATATGTCTGAAATGTCCACGTTGACCTAAATACCCCTCTTGCTTTTTTTGGCTTGCCTCACAGACGAACAGGTTTCTCTGGCTGGAGCCGCCAGGAACAGAAACAAAAGCTGCCTTTGTCTTTATTTTGTCAATCATCTAAGAATAAAGTTGACATCACAGGTGTGGCACGCAGATGTCTCTGATCTCCTTTCTTTACTTTCCTCTGTTATAGTTTGTGTGTTAAATGTGAGCATTTTATTTTTTTGTCTTTTTCTGTCCATGCATTTATTAAAAGTTAGGTATACTGTATCTCTCTTGGTCCAGGTCATTAAAACTCTGTAGCAAACTAATACTGATATCATTCCACATGACTAGCATTGTATTGTACTTACATGGAGATGCTTTTAGGCCACATTCTCTCCACAACAAGACTAAATATATTGAAAAGGATTAGCTAACTAAAGAAAGTGTGCCATCAGCCTATGGGAGACAAGGTCGATCCATGTATCTCAAGGCAGCGTGCAGTGAGATCCCCGTGCCCAGGCAGAGAGGGGGGCCGAGGCTGGATTGCTTCCCCAGTTCCATCCAGCAGAGGCAGGGGGCCGGAGCAAGGGTTCACCCCTCAAGCCCCACCAGCTGCCTTCCAGGAAGCTTTGACGCCAGCAGACCTCGAGAGCAGCAGGGTTTGGAGGAGCTTTATGTACACAGCCATTATTCAGGCATCTGCACAACCTAGAGCCAGCATGGTTTACAGGTAGGATATTTTGTTCTGAAGAATGGTGCATGCACTTTTTCAGATTTCAAATACATTCAGTGCATACATACCATACATTAAGGCCACGCTGCATTATCTGACATAGATAACAGATAAAGAGATTTTCTGCATGCACTAATATTGACTTATATTTTGCATCATTTCAGCTTATCGTGTTGATTCTGTTGAATGAACTGCAACTTTTTGGGGATCTTGATGTGATTTGAGTTCAAGCACAATCAGCTGTTAATTTCCTCTAATTGGTGTCATTTATCAACCACTTGAAGTAAAGATTAAAGTTTAACTCTGCTCAGCGGGGTCCCTGTCCTCTTTATTACCCAATGCTTCATCACCTCCTGATATGGAAGAGTTCTTCTCTGCACAGCGAGACCCGGCACTAATTCCCATCCACAATTAGACCTGACGTTCGAGGCGCATGAGGCCACCATCAGACATGATCAGACATGCTGCTTTATATTCACTGGCTGCAGGTTTCAGTACTGAAGAGCGACTGGTTTGAACATGTAATGAGGCATGTGATGATATGTCATTAAATACGTTTTTTTGGACAGTTTCTGAAATGTGACAATTTTCAGGATCCAATTTTTGATGGGTGTGTAGCTGGTGTGTTACATTTGCTTAATTAAATTGATTATTTAGTCCAATTACAATTTTACTGTTTTTGAAGGCTTGTTCTAAGATTGTACTTACATTACTCAAAATACACTTATTTGTATTGTTTTGCTAATCTCTGGCTGTGAAAACACATTATCCAAATGGCCAAATCATTGGTGTGACATCACACAGGTGGGCGGGGCAAACATCACAACAGGAAGTATACCCTGCAACACATGAGGTGAGGATAATTACAAAAGCTTTAGCTAGCTTTGACTAGAAAAAAACGAATAATTATAAATTGTATACATTTTCACAAGACTTTGATAGAAACAGGAATTTGATGTACTACTGCAACAAAATCTTTTTGGAATTTTGTAAAGTTGTATTTTTGGCCTGCATGATTTGGGGTGATTGGGAAAGTGTAGAAGTAGCTAATGAAACAAATCATCAATTTGTGATAGAGAACCACTGCACACTATTAGTGGTTCCCAACCTCTTCATATGGGCAGATCCCCAATCTTCCACTAACTGTTCATGGACTAGCTTGACTTTGCTAGCTGTTTTTATTAGCTAGCTAAAAACAGCTAGCAAAACAGTGACTGTACCTTAATACAACACTGAGCTTTAGTAACTTTATTTAAAACATAAAGCGTACAGTGAAAAACTCAATGCTGCATAGTTTAAGACTCATTTTCAAACCACCTCCTAAGCAGGATGGTTTCAATGTATCCAAAGTTTACAATTACATGTACAGCATAATGATAACTCTGCTGTCCATTCTGCTGTTGCAAGGTATTGTTGGTATTGTTTACTTGTTTGTAATAAAGCATAGTAGTGTTCTCTATGCTAAAGGAGATATGAAAATCATTGAAGCTCCTTTCCTTGGCTTTTTGTGAATTTAAACAGCTCTTGGCTGCCACTTACGGGCCATTTTACAGAATTTGTTCCAAGCAAAAAGCACTATCTGACCAGACAGAGCCAAGCTCAGACAAGCTTACTGTTTCCCTGATTCCAGTCCTCTCACTTTACTTCGCTAAAACCTGCTAGATCTAGCTTCAAAGTTAGCCTACCAACATGCGGAAGTGACATAAATTCTACTCTATGCAGGAAAGCTAATGCTGGGCCTATATCTCAAAATGTCGAACAAATTATTTTATAGTAGCCTTTTTTTAAATCTTTTTGGCACTATAGCACTATAATGCTTTACTGATGACAACATAATAACATTACTTATTTGTACATATCTTTGCATGCATGGGACAAAACAATGTTAAATTGTGATTTCACATGTATTTTGTCTTTCATTGTAAGATCAACCATCTCCCCAGTGCATTTACGATTGAGCTGATACACGAAGCATATTTAGTTTCAATACACCTGAAACATAAAAGCTAAAACTCAAATTGAGCTGGTAAGTCGTTTATCCTAAGGTTGGAATTCTGCAGGACATTAACATTTCCTCAATACTGAATGTATAAGCCACTTGGTGCTTGACCATTCGAAAAATAAATATCGCTGCATCCTCTTTCTTCTGTCATTGAATATCGCCTCTGATATAAGGACATATTCCTGCTGGGCAGCTGCATTAGGTCACTAGGCTTCTATAGGCGCTGCTATAATGCACGTCAGCATTCATCAGTGTCACCGTAGGTTTCAAACTGAGATGAAGTCATGGCAGAAGCTAATAATGATGCCAATGGGAAATGTCATGACGAAATTGATGCTTTTGGTGTTGTTGCTAAAGAATGATGATAGTAATGATGATGATGAACTTGCATCTTCAGTACAAAAAAATTGAATCAAATCCTCCTTCAGCCTTTCAGGCATGTTGTCTGTCGAGTGAAAATGTGTGGCGCATAGTTACTGTGACTGTTGTGTCTCACTCTAAAAATAAATGCTTTGGCTCAACAAAGAAAATCAACGCAACAGTTTGCATCATTGTTTATTGAGTTATGACAACTTCTAATGAAATTGTGTTAAACCAACAAACTTATTTGAGTTAGGGGAGAAGGCTTTTCCTCTACAATCAGAGGTGTTTTTAATTACCACTTAATAATTGGTAGCATAAACACAAGTTTTTAAGTTTATTACAAAATAAATTAAGTTGTTCCAAATTAGTTTTACCACATTATTTAAAAGGAATTTGAAGTTGTATGTACTTAATTACCCTCATTGTGAACACAAGTCTTTAAGTTGACAACCATTTATAAATTAAGTTGCTCCAAATATATTTTATTCAATAGTTTTGTTTAGCTTTTTCATGTTTTTGCCTATTAAGAAATTAATTAATTCAACAACAAAAATGTTAGGCAATTCACTTTTTTTATTTTCAACTGCAGTTGTGTATTTCAACACATGATATTTAAATCTTGAGAAAAAAATAAAATAACGCAAATTTAAATTGCCCCAAAAATGTTAAATAAACATATTAGCCATATTACCATGGGAAATGAAAGGGGATACAGCACATCAATTCTGCCATCACATCAAAGTTAGAAGCCTTAAAACCAGTGCCAAATAGGTAAAAGCTGTAAAATGTTGTAACTAGTTTTAAAATCATTTTCTAGAACTTTTGTAAACATTTAGTAAAACTACAGTAACAGACTTTCAATGGCCACCAATCTGCAGATCACACACATACATTTTACAAAAGATGTAACAAAGATGTTTACACTGCCTACAGCTCAGATTCAGAGCATATATTATGCCCATCAGCAAAGCACAGCACCTTGGGATATCCTTTCCCTCAACAACTTTGTTTCCCTCGACCACGATGGTTGCCATCGTATGGTCAGATCCTGGGGTGGACCGGTCACTGATGATGGCGATATTCATCACTTGTCCATCAAGGTCTGCCTCGAACTCTTTTGTGTTCTTTTGAAGCAAAATAAATAATAGGTTAGCGTATAAAAGATAATGAATTAGCTGATTGCATACTTTTTAAACTGTCGCTCTTAGTGAATTCAGAGCCATTATTACCAGCTGGTAATTGCTGGTATTGTTTTCACCTTGTGATTCTGCATGTGTGTGTCATCATGGCAACGTGGTCCTGAAGACACACAGAGGTGGTTTTGCGTACTTTGCCTAGTGTTTAAATGCCTGTGGACAGATTTTGTCATTGCGATATAATCACAACCTTGCAAGTTTTAGTGTACTTTCTCATCTTTTTTGCAGGTTCCATACAATATTTGAACTGGTTAAGTGCAGAGCAAAAGCCACTTGTCAAATTCTACGCGATCATTTTCCCATGTCATTACTGTCAACACCTATCCATGCTGAACGTTGCTAAGATATTATTGATTGGGGTGTGGCCAAAAGTGCAATATGCTTGTAACTGACAGAGAGCAGTGCTTTTGTCCTGTGTTTTTACACTCTGCCCATGGATTTGGATTACTTACATTAAACTCCTTGAGAAGGTCCTCTTCCTTTTCTCTAAGGTACACGACAAGGAAGCGGATGACTAGTTCTCTGCGTACTTCAATTGTATTGTGCTATTTATGAAAAAGAAAAAAAAGGGAAATTACCAACATTTATATATTCTGAATGGGTGACTGCCAACAACTTGCAATTCAATGACAACTCTAAATAACGATCCTACCTCAAGAAGCATGTCCTTGATCTGCCTGATTCTCACTCCAGTAGCTCCTCCCCAGTTGGTTCAAGGCTTAATGAATTCGTCATTTATCTGTGGACCAAACAAACAGAA